TCTTCTGAATCCAGCTTGAATTTCTGGCAGTTCCCTATCTATGTACTGCTGCAACCATTTTGAATGATCTTCAGCAAAATTTTACTTGCGTGTAATATTAATGATAGCATTCGATAATTTCAGCTTTTTGTTGGATCCCCAACCGATCACCATTCGGTTGGAGGTTAATTAAAGAAGAGCTAAATTCAAGGAGGAATATACCATATTAATGACTTGAAAGAGTCATTGTTTTAAAGCTGTCACTAATTCCCAAATTGATCCATAGAGTTACATAATGTAATCCTAATAACATCCCAAAAGGCGTGCTTTGTTTTATTTTGTTTTGTGAAACCTCATATAGTTATTCTGAAACTTGTATGGACATGTAAACTATCAACAGTAATCAAAATACTCTTGTAAAAAGAAGACTAAGGTGGGAGGACTTGCTCTGGTTAAGTGTATTTCGACTCATAGTGACCCCATGTGACCGAGTAGAACTTTTCCATAGGGTTTTCTAGGCTGTTATCTTTATAGGAGCAGATTACCAGGTCTTTCTCCCATGGAGCCCCTCGGTGGATTTGAACTGCCAACCTTTTGGTTAGCAGCCCAGTAATTAATCATAGTGCCACCAGGAGTCCTTGGACTTGCTCTACCACATACCAAAAGTACTTTACTATAAAGCTATTATGACAGTGTTGCATTGGAGAGAGTACAGAAAAAATATATCAGTGAAACAGAAGAGAGTGGCCAGAAGAAAACTCTCATATATGCATAGAACACTTGATCAATGGTAAAGATGGGACTGAAGAACAACGGATAAAAATAAACTTTTCAATATATACAGCTGGTTCAATTGTACATTTATATGGAAAAAAGTGAAATTTGGCCTCTATCTCCCATCATAGCCAAAACTCAATTCCAGGTACACTGTAGATGTAAGCATGAAAGGAAAAACAATAAATCATACAAATTAATACAGGGAATTATATTAATGACCTATGCATATGTAGAATAATATTTCTTTAACAGTAAAAAGCCATAGCATTGCCTGTATTGAAATCAAGAGTTTTTTGTTGATCAAAACTTCATTGAGTAAAAAGGCAAGCTCTATACTGGGAAAAATACTTGTAATATATTTAATATACAAGGGGTATATAATCAAAACATATAAAAAGCTCACAAATCAACATAAAAAAGACAGACCATCCAATGGAAAAATGGGTGAAGATTGATCATTTTTCAAAAAAGAAGATCTATAAAGTCTGTGAACATATAAAAAGATGTTAGACTTCCTTAGTAATCAGAAAACTGAAAATTTAAGCCAAGAATGAGATATTATATCCTCCTCAGAATTACTTAAAAAAAAAGATCAAACATTGATGAGGTTGTGGAATATTGGCAACCATTATAAAATGCTGCTGGGAGTTTAAATTAGCACATATTATTTGGAAACATGGTTGGCAATATCTACTAAAATTAAAGCTATGCTGACACATTATATTTACATTCCACCCTTAGTGATATACCCAACAGAAACGCATGAGCATGTGCCCTGAGACAAACACAGGAGTATCCCAAAACTAGAAACAATCTAAATATTCATCAGTAGTATAACGATAATGTGTAATATATGTATACAACAGAATATTATAGACTAATAGAAAAATGTACGTAGGTGCCGTCAAGTGAGTTCTGACTCATAGCGACCCTATGTACAACAGAATGAAACACTGCTCGGTCATGTGCATCCCCACGGTCATTGCTATGCTTGAGTCCATTCTTGCAGCCACTGTGTCAATCCATCTCATTGAGGGTTTTCCTCCTTTTCACTGACCTTCTACCTTACCAAGCATGATGTCCTTCTCCAAAGACTAGTGCCTCCTGACAACATGTCCAAAGTATGTAAGAGGAGGTCTTGCTATCCTAGCTTCTAATGAGCATTCTGGCTACACTTCTTCCAAGACAGATTTGTTTGTTCTTCTGGCAGTACATGGTATATTCAATAGTCTTTGCAAACACCATAATTCAAATGCATCAATTCTTCTGTCTTCCTTATTCACTGTGCAGCTTTTGCATGCATATGAAGCAATTGAAAATGGTCAGGCGCACCTTAGTCCTTAAAGTGACATCTTTGATTTTGGACACTTTAAAGAGGTCTTTTGCAGTG